GTGAAAGGGCAAAAAAGGCACATACACAGCCCTACAGTAATTAATCAGCAAGAAAACAAAAAAAAAAAACAATTAAAAACACAAGTAAAAAAACAACAAAAATTTCTAATAAAAGGAGCTGCGCCGAATGGCGCCAGTGTGCATGCATCCACACGCAAACATGCGTCCACGCAAACAGTTGTATGCGTGTCTTGCATATGAGTATCTCTGGGATGCGCTCAACGTGACGGAAGCGGGGAGCGGCAAAAAGGAGCACACAGCAGGGCAGCAGAAGCAAATGAAGCAAAACACAATCATTATTTTCTCTTATTTATTTAAATCGGACCACAGTGGACGCGCACAAATCCCCGTGGTTGAGTGCTGGCACGCACAGCCCGCATGCACCTCTTCAGCCCAGAGTGGTGTACGCCAGCGCGGATACGGCGAGCAGCAGCGGGGCACACACCCACGCAGAGCTGCTGAGGCTGTCGTCGGTTTCACGAAGACGTGACGGTGTGCGGGTGGTCGTCGTGGTTGGTGCCTCTGTAGTTGTAGTACTTGGTGCCTGTGTTGTAGTGGTCGTGGTTGGTGCCTTTGTGGTATTCGTCGTGGTCGTGGGAGCATCTTCGGCTTTATTATCTTCCTTTTCCGTGGAACTGCTCGTACCACTTTGTGACTCTGTCGTGCTTTTCTTACCTTCGGTATGTACCACATTGTTCTGGTCGTTTGATTGCTTTTCCGGAGTGGCCGCAGCTGGACCGTCTCCGGCTTTCGTTTCCTCGTCCTCAACGGGGCCCAAACCTGATGACCCTGACTGATCCTTCCCTTGTAGTCCTGACTCTGAAGAAGCAGATGTATGACTGTTGACGCTTTCATCAGCGCCAGACGGCTTTTTAGCGGTTTGTGCCTGTGTTGTCCTGTTCGTCGTCGTCCTGGAATCAACATCCATCTGCGGAGACTCTGAGGTGCACACGGACGGGCAGCAGCACAGGGCGAGCACCAACAGGGCGCACAGCAGACGGCACGTCATCATCGTGAGTGTGGTCGTTCAGTGGTGTGGAGCTGACCTGCACAGTGAGGGACATGGAGAGCAACAGGGGAGACGAGAGGTGCGGCAGACACACACACACAGCCCTGCCGCAACAACAACACACAGATGGAGGAGGGGGAAGTAAACAGGAGCGGCACACAAGGCTCCACCGCATGCACATACGGCGAGAGCGGTCCGTCGTGTCGGCACCCCTCACGGAGGGTACGCACACACACAAGAGGAGGTGCAGCGCCCACAGCAACACAAAAGCAAAGTAACAATTAAAAAAGGAGAGATCCCCGCACACCACGCGGATTGTTGGTCCACGGGAAGTGCAGCCAACATCCATCACAAAAACAATTCAGTTGCCTTTGGCCCTCCTTCATATTCAGCGCACACCACTTCATACAGGCCCGGCAAACATCGCAGCAGCAGCACACGCAAAAATAAGCGGATGGAACGGCATAATGCAGACAACCATTTATTTGTGTTTCTGTTTGAATGTTGGCAGATGCCTGCATGCGTTGTTTTGTTTTTTTGCAGAGGGCAAACCTTCATGCCTGCATCGTGTGTTGGGGATTTCTGCAGGGTGCACAATTATTTTCTTTCCTCTTGTGAATGTTTCTTGTGTTGGTGCAGCCAATAATTCGGTTTGTGTTGTTCCTGCCTTTCGCTGGTAAAGTGCTGCAATAGATGTTTGTTTTTCCTTTCGTTGCTGTGGCACCTGATTCCTCACCGTTTATTGCGGTGGAAATGAAAATATGTGAGTGGAGTCCCACACACCAGAGCGCACCTTCGCTCCTATTTATTGGTGCATGGAAGGGCATGTGTGTTTGGTGGTGTCTCGTCCATATATTTTGTGGGTGTACATTCCCCTGCAGGCTGAGGGCGGGATGACGCTCCGTCGCGGTGCACTTCCCTCGCATGCCGCCCACTGTGATTCATCATGCATCACCTCCTCACATACTCCGTGGTGCCACACCGCTGATATTATTGCAGCCGCTGTGATTCCGCGCATTTCACGCATTTTATTGTGCCACAATACATCCGCTCGTGTGGCCGCCGCATCCAAACAGCGGTGCCCAACACCGTGAGCGGCAGTCCACATCCCTGCATGTCCCAACGCAGTGGTGTTTGACTGTCAGCCAGGCGTCAGACAACAAGAGAGTCTTGTGCTGGCAGTACAACACACGGAGCTGCAGTGAATGACTCGGGCGGGGACGCATCTATTCGTCGCAAAGCAGTGAAAAGGAGTCGGGCAAAATAATGCCGGCTGCATGCACGACACCACATCCACAGCCAAAGCATGCGATGTGATGTGTGTTTCACTGGTGCTGTGAAATGCCTGCAGACGACGCCACTAGTGGAGGCATGCCACCCATGATCAGCGGACAGACAATAATCGGCATGGGAGGCCACAAAAGACAGCAACGACGCCAGCAGCAGGAGCAGCTCTCCCTCTCTGTTGCCTTCGAAAAGTAAATATTCCACCAGCCGCAGCTGACTGTGCCATCGTGACACTCCATGCACGTCGTGGCTGCGTCAACACATCCTGTTCCCTGCAGCGCCTCAAAAGATGCCTCACTCCGTCCACTAAGTGCATCGGTGTGGGCCGTGCCTCGGCTGCTCGTGAGGACCACAACGATGTGAGGGTCACCGAGTCGCAGCATGTTTGTTGTGACGTTGTTGCATGGCACCTGCACACACACACACGCAGCGCCTGCATCCCTCCCTTTTGTGTCCGCCCTCTGCCGGAGTGGCCACACACACGGGCAGCAGCAAAATCACTTCACCCTCGACGATCCAAAGTCAACACCGACATCCCTCGCGACGCAAAGATCTCAGTTGCCAGCACGGGCCTCCTGTCGCTCTGCCATCGACGCTGAAACACGGCACAGTGCACGCACTTATTTTCCTCGTGTGCAGTCAGCCGTTTGCTTCACACATTCTTCGATGGGCTGACGCCCACAAAAGCACGCCACAAAAGGCCACTGTGATCGCACACGCTCTTGCGATGAGCGTCGGTGTGTGCATGGATCCGCTGCTCACACGTACTGGCAGGCAGCCTGCAGCCGGTGCCCTCGTGCCAGTTCATCGGCTCCAGCACGGAAAAGAGAAAATGGCCCATTCCCGATGCACTTATTCCCAGCAGCAGCACCAACACGCTGGTCGCCAGCCGTCATTCCTCAGCACATCCAGGAATGCTGAAAAGTGACGTGGAGCTGTCAGCCAGCAATGCCACAATCCCCGCACACATGTCGGCTCCACCAGAGAAGACACACAAATCACAAACAACACCCTCCACATGCCATCCGAACATCATTCCAACACACCGCGACACGCCAAACAGAAGTGTTCGTCACCCCAATGCACCTCCCCACACAATCACATAGTCCACACACCACGCACGGCAGCAGCTCACACGCCGTCAAACAAATGTTCCTCGGATCAGTGTTGTCCACATGCTGCAGTGGGAAGTAAACAAAAGAGATGAGCTGCCAAACCCCAAAAGAGTGCCACGACTGGCCGCAAGTCAACGGAACGCAGCCACTCAAATGAATTCAGTCCTGATGCCCTCAGCCTCCCACCTTCTCCCACAAAAGCTGCAAAAGATTGAAAACAAACGCACCGTCCAATGAATTCTTTGTGCAACACCAAAAGAAGCCGCAGTGTCTTATGCTGTCCTCACAGTCCGTTGATGACGCCTGGATGCGGATGGTCACCCATCGGTTCTCACAAACGACGCTGTACATTCGCGACGCATCCTGCGCTCTGAGACACGCGTCCCTCACCATCACCAGAGACGCCCACGCACCGTCGGTACGCAACAAATCGTCAAGGAACGAAGGATACGTCAGGCTGACAGCAAGACATCCGCTGACAAATCACAGCGCAGACACCATCAAAAACAGCACCAGCAGCACTGCAGACCGTGGGGTGACGTGGACCAACGAACGCATGGCGTATGTCAAAGAAAAAAACATTGGTGGCGTCACAAGAAACAAAAGACTGGCACTCTCTCAACAAGAGAGAAACAATATAAGAAAATATCAAAGAAAGGACATTTTAGGCGTCCGCAGTCAAAGCAAACTGCCAATCCAAAAAGTGTGGAAAAGGTGCACTCAGCTACAACACAAGTAAAACAATAAAAGAAAAAAACAAAGCCGAAGCGTGGGACGACCAGCGCACACACTCTCATTGCTCCCGTAAAGCAAAACACACACACACAGGGAGAGAGAGAGAGAGAGGTCGCCCACTCAATGCAATGGAAACAGAAACACTTACGGTGCTCCGCCCATGCAGCCAGGCAGGACGGCAGCGGTGCGTGTCGTGCAAAAGAGAGCACCAACGGGCCTGCATGGGTGTGCATGCATATATACAATGGGCACATTATGTGTGTGCTTCGTGGAATGAGGTGAGGGCGAGAGTCCATGCAAGGGGACACACACAGAGAGTGAGAGAAAGACGAGTGTGTGTGCGGGCGGTGCACGGCTCTCTCTCCCTCATACTCTCACGCGGCCACCACCGCAGCAGCAGCGGCACACGCAACAACAATAAGAAGCAAAGGAGGGGAGGTGGTGTGGGAGACCGCGGTGCTGCTGTCATTGTTTTGTGTATTCGTCGTATCAGTTGTGTTTGCGGTTACTGTCGTTGCTTTTGTGTCTTCCTCAGTCCCTTCTGAGCCTTCTTCTCGGTGGCTTTGTGGTGTGGCCGCGGTGTCAGGCGGCGGAACATTTTTTTTATCTTCACTCGTGGTGTCTTCGCCATCCTGTTCGCGGGAATCAATACCTTCTTCTTGAGCTGGTGAAGGATTTCCTCCCGCAATTCCCGCAGGCAGTGTTTGCTCCCTGTTAACTGTTTTGAGTGGACTCTCTACTGCAGGTGTATTTTCGTCAGTCTCCTTCTTTTTTTCTATCTTCGTTTGCGTAGGATTGGCATTTGATTCCTGACTGCCGGAATGAGGAATGTCCCCAGCAGATACAATTGACTGACGTGTTTGCTGCTCGTTGCCTCTTGAATTCTTTTCCCCGGAATTTGGGTATGATGTAACTGTTACTTCTTGATCACCCTGCCCTTCTGTTCTTTTTCCTTCTTCATATTCCGCCCCTGCACCATCACCATTCTCTTCACTATCTTCTTCTTCATCTTCATCGTCTTCATCTTCATCTTCTTCAACTTCATCCTCTGGAGGTTTGGAGGGTACTTGTCCTTTAACACCTCCAGTTCCATCTCTTATGCCTTGGGTGCCTTCTGGGGACTTTTCAGGTGCTTCTGATTCCGGCAGATGTTCAGCACTCCCAAGACCCGCCGTTTCTCCCCCGTCACATCTACCGCCTCCACCGGCAGCGCACCACAGCACGAAGAGGGCACACACCAGCAGCACACGGCCAGTCATCATCGCCATCACTCCTGTCACTTGCGTGCAGCCTTCAGCACACACTAACTCCCCGCCAACGGAGAGCAAAAGCAAAGGAGAGACAATTCACACAGCCACCGCACGCACAGTCACAAATGACAATGCACGCACCATGAGGCAGTCGGAATCAGTACAATTGCAGAACTCACACACCGCCCTGCAAACCAGAAGTTCTAAAAATGCAGTAAAAAAGAACAACGACAGAGTTGAGAGTCCGGCATGACTCCAAAAAAGTAAAAAAAAATCGATCAGGCACGACTTTTATTTTATGTGCCAAGCAGCAAAATGTAAACAACCACTGGTTTGTGTATACTTAATGCCTGGATTGAATAAAGCAAAAAAAAGATCGTACTGTTCCACCAGCCCACACAACTCTCCTCACACTTCATTGCGGCATCCGGCCTGTCTCTCCAATCCTCATTTCGTGCAGTCCGTGGGACGCACAGCAGTGAGGCCGGCACCGCGTGTGGGCAACAGAAGGAAACAAAAGAGGGAGAAGCACGTCACTCATGACAAAGTACAGCAAACGACCATTGGCAGAAAAACACAGGGATGCTGATTATTCCAATAGGGCAAAAGCAGCAAAAATAAATAAATAAAAGGAAATGAAAAAACTTAAATTATTGACAAAACTCAGTGGTTAATGCTGGCAAGCTGCACAGTTATTGTTCCACGAAAAGCCGCAATTCCACCCTCCCTCACACTTCAGCAGAGTGCCGCAGTGCCCCACAGTCCCAGAAGCAGAAGCAACAACACCCGAGACACACACCCATGCACGGTGATGTCACCAATTTCAGCCATGGCCAACAAATCCGTGAAATGCCCGTGCTCACAAAAACCGTTGCTCACAAATGATGCTGCGTTGTGCTCCGATGGGATCTCTGGTTTCCCAGACGTTGTGCGCAAATAATCCTGTGCGGCATCACCGCCGCCCGACACGTTAGCACTCGTTCAGCATTTGCTAGGGCTGTGCTGGGCTCAGGCGTGGCTGTTGTACCATCCAGAGGCATTAGATCGCTGTTGCTGAGTGAATCGGGGTCGCTGTCCATGCCCACGGCGGTGCGGGCATACGTGTCCTATTCATGGTCAACGTGTTGTTAGTCGCTGGCAACTGTGTTGGCGGTGGACGGCTTGTCGTCTCTCGCTGAGCGTGCGTCTGGATCCGCTGCGCTGCCACTTGACTCCCCGGACAGCGGAGCTCTCTGTTGGGCCTCACCGCGCAGCTGCTGGCAGCCTTGCATGCTCCTGCCGAGCGGAGTGTCCTGTCACTGAGCATGGCCTCAGACGCTTCCCAGTTCCCCGTCTGGCAGCATCCCAATCGCCCACACGAGTTCCTGTCGCCACAGACTCCCTCCCGGCGATGGAGGCGCTCCGCCTTTTCCCGCTGGCGGTGCACGACGACGTCACCGAGGAGATTTGCACCGTGCCGCTTTCACTGGCGGATCGAGGTCACGCAGCTGGCTTCACATTTTCCCATGACACTGCGGAATCCCACGCAACGTGACAGCGGACGCTGATGCCGTCATGGCACGATCCCTCCCGCAGGGCTGCGTCAATGCCTGGCACGTGGACTTCCTCGCTGCAGTCAGGCGACTGTACTGAAAGATATGCAGGAGGAAAAGGAAGCCGCACACCGCATGACAGGCGGTTGTCGGCGTGGCGAGGACTCTATTCCTGGTGTTGACCCGGACATCGTGCCCCGAGTGGCGGCACCGCGCACAGATGCGATGCGACTCCTGCCCGCTCTTCGACAGGCCAGCGCACGCGCCCTGCATATCACAAGGAACCCTGTGTCGGTGGCGCCGTCCTTTCTTTACTGAGGAGATCGGCCCGCCACTGCTTCCGCGGAAACTCTTCCAGACGTGAACGCCGCAACTCCTTTCCGACCAGCGAGCGGCGGATTGACGTCTTCCTTCCCAATCTGCAGCGGAGTGTGCTCGTCCATCCACAATATGACTGCACATGCCGACGTGCTTGGCCTGGCATTCCGATAGTGGGAGAGGGCCTCAACTTTGCATGCCGCAATGGCTCCACCGTCTTCTTAACAGACGTCTTGCGCGCAGGTTGCCACCGAAGTCGCCAAGCATACTGGCAGACAGGACACGCAGGAAGCACAAGCGCGGGTACTCGAGATGGACCGGGCTCTTCCGCCACCGTCCCATCACAGACGCCACGTGCTGCCGATCCCCGACGGAACACGGGACACTCCGCTTCATCCACTGTGGTAATGCCCCGTCGTTGAGAATTTGGACTGCGACTGTTTGGGACCGCCTCAGCCGCACGACGGTCCGTTTGCGAAGGAATACTTACCACTTTATTGCTGACGGTCCTAGCGCTACTCATTGCTGTCACAAAATAAATTAAAGAGGAAAAAATGCATCTTTTCGCAATAAATATTGGCTGCGCTTCCTGTGGATCAACAATCCACGTGGTGTGCGTGGATCATTCCCATATTTGTTAATTTGCTTTTGTGTTGCTGTGTGCGCTGCACCTCTTCTTGTGTTTGTGCGTACCCTCTGTGAGGGGTGCCGACACGACGGACCGCCCTCGCCGTATGTACATGCGGTGGAGCCTTGTGTGCCGCTCCTGTTTGCTTCTCCCTCTTCCATCTGTGTGTTGGTGTTGCGGCAGGGCTGTGTGTGTGTGTGCCTGTTGCCGTGGATTGGAGTGTGTGTTGTGCGTGGTGTGCGGCGTACGGTGCATCCCTGACTGCTGCCCTCTCCTCGTGTGGTGTGCCCTCTGTGTGTGTGTCTGCCGCACCTCTCGTCTCCCCTGTTGCTCTCCATGTCCCTCACTGTGCAGATCAGCTCCACACCACTGAACGACCACACTCACGATGATGACGTGCCGTCTTCTGTGCTCCCTGTTGGTGCTCGCCCTGTGCTGCTGCCCGTCCGTGTGCGTGAAAACGAGTGAAGATACAGCTGGTAAATCTGGAAGTGATCCCGTTTCACCAAATTCTAAGCCAGAAGGACAAGATGATTTGAGGGAATCGCTAAGTACAATTCCTTCTCCACCAAAGAAAAACGAAGAAGGGAGAGGGACGGAAGATTCACAAAAAATGGAGACTCTTGCGTCACATACAACGGCTACAGTAACCGAAACGCCACGGCCACCAAATACTTCCCATAATACACAGGATCAAGATGATGGGAAACCCACTACTGAAGATGCAGGTATTGATAAGAGCAATATGTCAAATGAACAAAATGAGAAAGAAAATGCACCAACTGCGACAACAACAACGACAACGACAAAGGCACCAAGTACCACCACCACGACCACGACGACGACCAATGCGCCAGAGGCACCAAGTACGACGACTACAGAGGCGCCAACCACGACGACCACCCGCACACCGTCACGTCTTCGCGAAGTCGACGGCAGCCTCAGCAGCTCTGCGTGTGTGTGTGCCCCGCTGCTGCTCGCCGTATCCGCGCTGGCGTACACCGCTGTGGGCTGAAGAGGTGTGTGCGGGCTGTGCGTGCCAGCACCCAACCACAGGGATTTGTGTGCGTCTACTGTGGTCCGATGTAAATAAATAAGAGAAAATAATGATTGTGTTTTGCTTTATTTGCTTCCGCTGCTCTGCTGTGTGCTCCGTGTTGTGGCTTCCTGTATCCGTCACGTTGAAAGCAACCCAGTCACACTCATATGCACGACACGCACACAACTGTTTGCGTGGACGCATGTTTTGTGTGCTGTTGCATGCGCACTGGAGCCATACTGTGCAGCTATCTGTTTTTTGTGGTTTTACTTTTTTAAAATTTTTTTGTTTGTTTTTGCTGATGAATTGCTGCGGGGTGTTGTGTGTGTGTGTGTGTTTTTTTTTTTTTTGCCTTTTTACTGATTCCAACTCCCTCATGTTTTGTGGGCTTCTGCTGCTTGGATGCTGCCATTTGCTGCTGCTGCTGCGGTTGTGTGATTTTTACCTCCCTTTTTGCTTTCACTCTGCGTTGACGGGGAGTTACTTTGTGCTGAAGGCTACACGCAAGTGACAGGAGTGATGGCGATGATGATGACTGGCCGTGTGCTGCTGGTGTGTGCCCTCTGCGTGCTGTGGTGCGGTGCCGGTGGCAGATCTGACGGGGGAAAAACGGCAGGCTCTGGGAGTGGTGATGGGTCTCCGCTGGAATCAAAAGAACTTGAAACGTCTCCACAAGGCACCCAAGGCTTACATGGTAGGGAAACAGGCGTTAAAGGAAATGTACCACCCGCATCTTCCACACCTACAGAGGAAGAGGACGATGTTGATGAAGTTGATAGTGACAATGATGTAGATGAAGAGACGGAGGCTGAAGAAGGAAGTATAGAAGGGCAGAGTGATAAAGGAGGAACAGCTGCACTAGACCCAGGTTCTGGGGAAAAGAATTTAAGTGGCAGCGGGCAGGAAAAGAACCAGTCAATTGCATATACACAGGGCATTTCTCTTTCCGACAGTCAGGAATCAAATGCTATTTCCACGCAACCGGAAGTTGAAGAAAAGAATGAGACTGACGAAAATACACCTGCAGTAGAGAACGCACTCAAAAGAGTTAACAGAGAGAGCACAGTGCCTGCGGGAGGAAATCTTCCACCACCTCCAGAAGAAGGTGTTGATTCCCGCAAAAAGGATGGCGAAGACACCACGAGTGAAGATAAAAAAAATGATCCGTCGCCTGAGACCGCAGACACACCACAAAGCCACCGAGACGAAGGCTCAGAACGGACTGAGGAAGACACAAAAGCAACGACAGTAACCGCAAACACAAATGATACGACGAACGCACAAAGCAGCGACGGCAGCACCGCGGTCTCCCACACCACCTCCCCTCTTTTTCTTCTTGTTGCGTGTGCCGCTGCGGTGGTGGCCGCGTAAGAGTGAGGGAGAGAGCGCCATGCACCGCCCGCACACACACTCGTCCTTCTCTCTCTGTGTGTGTGTCCCCTTGCATGGACTCTCGCCCTCACCCCATCCCACGAAGCACACACATAATGTGCCCATTGTATATATGCATGCACACCCATGCATGCCCGTTGGTGCTCTCTTTTGCACGACACGCACCGCTGCCGTCCTGCCTGGCTGCATGGGCGGAGCACCGTAACTGTTTCTGTTTTTGTTTTTATTGCATTGAGTGGGCGACCTCTCTCTCTCTCTCTCTCTCCCTGTGTGTGTGTTTTGCTTTACGGGAGCAATGAGAGTGTGTGCGCTGGTCGTCCCACGCTTTGGCTTTTCTTTTATTGTTTCACTTGTGTTGTGGTTGAGAGCACCCATTCCGCAAGCTGCGTGTGGGTAATGATATGAGTGACTTGCATGTGTGCTATCCGCTTCTCTCTCTGCCGTTGCTTTCTTTGGACTCTCTTGTGTTGCACAGCTGCTCTGCAAGTATAGGCGCTGACAAACAGACACGCACAGACACATGCCATTATGCATACTCTGTAGAGCGGCGTGATTGCTGAGGACGCACGTACCCAGAAGATTCTGGCTGCGAAATCCCTTGCGAGGAGGGCCTGTGGGGTGGAGCACACATTTCTTTCCCTCTTGCTTTGTTTTCTTGCGGCCAGGGCGGGCAGACACCCGCAGCGCCACACACACAGCCACACCCTGCCGCCGTGTTTTTAAGATTTTTTGCTTTGCGTGTGCATTGCACGTGCCGGCAGTCCCTTCGGGGTAGGCCTCGTGAGCATTTCTCTCCCGTCTGTTGATTTTTTTTCTTTTGCTGCGCTCACTCTCCCGATGGAGTGCCGCGACTCCCGTCATGTCTGCGTGCTTCTCTCAGTCCCCATGCACTCAAGAAGAGTGACTGTGCTCTGCGGGCCGCACTCACACGCCGATGAAAGGGCTGAGAGGAGCAGCAACACGCAGATGACCCCATGAAATATAAACGATGTGCGGACACGCAGAGGGTTAGACGGTTGAAAGACATTTAAATACCTTTTAATTTTATTTTCGGACAAAATATGCAGACAATTACTGGAGCAGCATGGTAGTTGGGTGCTTTTTTGTGTGTGGTTTTTCTTTTTTTATATATATTTGGGTGTAGCCGTAATAGAGGACTACTTCTTTTTTTTTTTTTTTTCTCTTTTTTCTTTTCAAAGTGTGTGGTGTGGAATGGTGAAGATGAATTTTTTTTTATTTATTTTTATTAATTTTTTAATGAATTGCCGCTGCTTGGGCTGCAGTGCGATATTGTAAGCCTGAGCAGTCTTTTTCTCTTTATTTCCGCCATGCACCTCTGCTGTACAGTTTTGTTTGTGCGTCCCTTCACATGCTCTGCTCCTGTTTTTACTTCTTTGCTTCGTGTGTCTGCAGGCAAACACAACCACATGCACGCACAAAATGCACATTTCATTCGATTTGGATGCTTCTTTTGTAGCGTGTGCTGGCGGTTGCGGGTGGCTGCTGCCTCCTCCGTGGGCATGAATGGAAGGAAGGAGGAGGAAGCGCGCAGCCCGAGTCTCCTTTCCTGCGGGTGCGATGCGCGCGGTGGATTTGTCGTGTGCTCCGAGTGACGGCGGCCTGAGCTATCGCGTGTGCGTGTGTGTGTGTGTGTCTGTGGGCGTGGAAGAAGTGTTTTGCTGCCGGTGCTGAGGCTCAGTATGAGAATTATACTTTCAGTGGCTTTGATGTGCGCATGCATGGCAGGAATGGTGAGCTGGGTGCTGTGTGCCATGTGGCCAATGCGGTGCACACATGTAGCAACTGTGCTGCCAGCTGTGCAACGGAAGAGGAAGGGGCCACCGTTGCCTTCACGATGAATGTGACGACACATAAATACGCCGGCCCTTATGAATTGTGGTGGCGTCAATTTTCCCCCGATGGAACCATCCATCCGCCTGCACGGAGCAGCGATGCTGACCAGACGGGCATCCGTCAGTTGCCGCCACCCCGTGAAGGGAAGGATGACACAAAATCTGGTGGGACAACTGCGCCGCAAGTTAATGCTGAGCCGTCACGTCAACACGAGGATTGGCGACAGTCTGCGGCGGCTGACGGACCCAACACCGTCGATCCGAGTCCCGCATCCAACACGGAGACCAACACGTCCGAGACGAGGCCTGAGTTTGCCAGCAATCCGAAAGAAGTGATGGTCCCGAATGCATCCAAGAAGAGGCCTTCCTTTGCCAACGGTCTGAGAATATTAGTGGCGCTGAATGCATCGGGGATCATGTCTGTCACTTATGGCGGCAGGGAACACGTTGCTGCGGATAACACGGACGAGGTGAGTGAGCATGACGCCACCGGATACAAATCTCTCGTTTTAGAAAATGGCGTTGCAGGCAGTGGATTTGTTGCTGAGGGTGATGCGGACGGATTGAGTCAACGAAATGCCTCTGGACACGAAAACCCCAATTACGAGAATTCACCGCGCAGTATTCCGGAAGCGGTGTGAGTCCCGACGACTGCTTTGACCTGCTGTACGACGCGAAATTGACACTGCGAGAGTTAACTGTTGACGGCACTGTGCGTGTGTGCGTGTATTGGGTGCTGCTGCTTCTTCTGGGATTGTGGGGAGTTGTGGCGGTCTTCTGAGCCAAAGAGTGTGGAATTGCGACTCCTCACGGAGAACATTTGCCGCGTTCCCTGCGTGTTTTCTTTTATTATCTACGTTTTACTTTTGTTTGTTTTTTTTGTTTTCCTGGAATGATAATTATCCTTGCTGTTTATTTATTTAATGTTCGGTTGCTGCACATTGTAATGTGTGACGTGTTTCTTCCTCTTTGTTTTGTCTTTTGTTGCCCACACGCTGTGCCGGCCTCACTGCTGTGCGTCCCACGGACTGCACGAAAGGAGGATTGGAGGAACAGGCCGGATGCCGCAATGAAATGTGAAGGAATGTTGTGTGGGCTGGTGGAACAAGAAGATCTTTTTTATTTGATTTCTTTTCTTGGTGAAGGCATTATTTATACAGACACACACGCTTGTCTTGTGCTGCTTGGCATATGAAATAAGAGTGCTGCCCGATTGATTTGTTTTAAGTTTTGGAAGTTCTGTTGGACTCCTATCATTTTTTTTTCTGTGTTCTTTTTTTCTTTGGTTTTTAAGTTTTGGTTTGCGGGTCGGTGTGCGAGTTCTGCGGTTGTAATGGTCCCATTTGTCTCTTTTTTGGTGTGCGCTTCTTCTGGCTGCTGCCATTTATTACCATGCGGTGGCTGTGCGTGGTGTAGCTGCTGTCTCTCTCTACTTCCTTTCTCATGCTCCTGCAGATCGAATCCACGTTATTCAACAACGATAGTTTTGACGATGATGCACCGTGTGTTTTGTGTCGTGTTGGTGCTGGCACTGCTGTGCTGCTGCTCGTGCGTGTTTGCCGTGGAGGAGGAGCCGCAGGTAACGCAGGTGGATGCAGTGTGTGCGGGTAAGGACAAACTCGGGCGCTGGCAACTCCGTGGGAAGTCATTATGGTATGACTGCACGGATGCAGCTCCTGGTGCGGGAAAGATGATTTGCGGCATGGGCGTCGGAAACTGTGAGCCCGAGGCTTCACAGAGTCGCACCATAGATGGTGTGAAGGATGCTGTCATCACGATCAACGTCTCCACGTTTACTCCAGACATCCTGAAGAGTTGGTGGGAGCGTAACGTGGAGAAAGCGGTCACCGTTGCAATTGGTGCAGCCAAACCTCCGGAAGGACCTCCGGGCCCTCCAGAAAACAAGATTTCTCGTGACACCTCTTCCACACCGGATTCAAAATCTCCTACTGCTGGCGCTGCGGCCACGACGGATCCTTCTCCTGAGGCCTCGCGAGCACCGGATTCCGCTCCCGCTGGTGATCCTCAAGGCCCTTCACATTCTACTTCTGCTGCTTCTGCTGCACCCGAATCTCCACCAGATCCAAAGCCCACAGAAGGCGGCGACCACTCCTCCCATGACCCTCCAGTGGAGCTGCAGGAAGAGACTGCTGCTGCGCCACCGACTCAGTTGTCCCAGACCGGCGAGGACGGGGGTGCAGCTGGAGGCGCCGAAGAGGACACCGCCGCCAACACCACCACCGAGACTGCTTCCGGCGAAGGAAATAATATGGCGGCAAGCATGCCGGCTCCCCTTTCCTCTGCGCCCACAACGAACGCGCTGGAGAAAAGTGTGGGAACTGACGCCTGCTTCCATGACACCCGTCTGCATGCCCTGCCATCGCTTGTTCTGGCTGCACTCACCTACGGGACACTGGGCTGAAGAAGTGAATGCGGACTATAATTGCCGGCACTCAACGACGTGGATTTGTGCGCTTCTTTTGTTTTATTGCGTAATAAGTAAGAGAAAATAATGATTGTGTGTTTTGCTTCATTTGCTTCAGCTGCGCTGCTGTGTGCTCCATGTTGTTGACCCCTGTATCCGTCACGTTGAACGCATCCGGGACACACTCGTATGCACGACACGCCCACAACTGTTTGCGCGGACGCATTTTTGTGTGTGCTGGTGCATGCACACTGGAGTCATTCGTCGCAGCTCCTTGAATTTTGTTTTTTGTGTTTTTACTTTTTTTTTTTCACTTTCTTTTTTCTGTTGTTGTTTTGTTGTTACTTGTTTTTTTTTGTTCATTTTGCTTGTTTTTTACTTCCTTCGGGTCTTTGTGAGTTTTTTTCATTTTTTAATGGTTTATTTTCTTTAATTTTTTCTGTTATCAATTTGTGCATTTTAAATCTTTCACTCCCCCATCTCTTCACTTTTTTGCTTTTTGGGGGCAATCACTATGGACGTTTTTTCTTTTCTACTCTTCCCTCTTTTAATTGTTTCTTCTGCACTCTTCCTGTGAGGGGTGCCGTGTGTTTCCCGCCCAACTGCTCCACTCGCACACCCACCGACACGCTCATGACGACGGCCCTGTGCGCCTCGCCTGCTGCACGCATGAGGAGGGGCCGCGACGAACGGCGCGCTGAGGGAGCCGTGACGTGTGGGCGTGCGACGAGGGCCGGTGGGGCGGAGCACACATTTCTTTCCCTCTTGTTTTGTTTTCTTTGCGGCCAGGGTGGGCAGACACCCGCAGCGCCACACACACAGCCACACCCTGCCGCCGTGTTTTTTTTCTTCTCTTTTTTTTTATGGATGGGTGTGTGCTGCCACCGTGTGTGATTGTTGAGGTTGTGGCCGCACCGCATGTACCGCTGCCATCCAGCTGTGCCTCTTGCTGTTCTGATGTGCCTCCCTGTGCTCCTCCTCTTTTTTTTCAGCTTCTCCAACAGACACCCACACGCATAAGTAGTTGCAAAATGCTCTGCAAGAACGTTTTTGGTAACGAGGGACGTTGGCTGACGTTCCGTGCTGAAATGATGACGCGGCTGCACGATGGCCTTCTCCGGCGATGAAATTCGCTGTGTTCTCGGCACACACTTCCACACACTTTTTCTTGTCTCTCTGTGGGGATGAGTGCGGCAGCATCGTGGTCTACGGCAGCGGCTGTTGGTGCCTTGGTGAGGACGAGGCGCCGAGGGACAAGAGGGCGAACCTGCTGGACGCGATTACGATGGCGGATGAAAGCTGTTTCGTTGCCTTTGCTTCGTACATTGCTAAGATTGCGGCGTGTCGCTGCCTGACGGGATGCCTGCACTCGGCACCCTTCGAGGCATTGCGTTGTTTCATTCAGTGTGATTTCACAATCATCATGGCAGCATCTTCCCTCAACGGCTCTGAGTGTGACAATACGAATGACGGCAAAGAGAGCGATGAGGATTATGGTGACGACTTGCACCGAGGGGCGGATTATTTGCGTGTCTTTGCACACGAATCCCAGGAGGGTTTGAATGCCGTCTCCACAATTCCCCGCCTTGCGGAACCGTTGGCCTTCGCGCTGTCACCCACCGTAATTAGTGCCCCATGCGTTGAGGCTGATCCATTTACCGTGGAGTTCACGCAGCAGCTCTCGAGTGTTTGTGCTGCTATTCCCGCGTTTGTTCTTTCGCATGTATTTCAGCGTTGCCTGGCGTGTGATTTGATGTCTGTGTTGTCCAGGCCACCGCCTCCAGTTTTCTTTTGGTGCCCAATAAGAAACACTTTCCGTTGCGGTGGATATTTATTTGCGTGGCCGTCGATGCACGTGACGATGCTCAACGGGTGTGTCTTTTGTTTGGCGGGCACGAGGGGGACTTCGGTGTGTGCCGACGCCTCCGCGAAAGTCTTCGTTGACGGATCGAGGCGAAAATAAGGGAGGTCTGTCCGCTGCATCTCTCAAGGCAGCTGCGGGGCACTCCGGACGCACAGAGTGAATGGATGGATGCCGCGCAGCTGGGGAGACCAGTTTTCTTCTCCGTCCTCCGTTGCCGGGGGAATCGAGAATCCACAGCGTCACTGCCAGCTGCATTTTACTTCTGGGGATCGACTGTTCTGAAGTTGCCCGTCTAATGTGAATTCCAGCGTCAGTGCAAGAAGACGCTTTCACGCATTGCGAGTAGTTGCTCCAGCCTCGAGCTCATCAATATTTACGGCAGGGAGCAATGCATCTTGGTGGCCGGTGACGTTCAGACGAGTTTGTTTCACTTCACCCGCCTCGTATTTGTGAGGGACACTGCGCATCGACCCTCTCCAACAGTCCCACCACCTTCACTTTCCCCCGCCACCCGCTGCCATCTGCTGACGGTACAGTTGTTTGGCTCCGCCAATAATGCGCTCGTGAAACGTCCTCTCCACACTCTGCAGGATTATTGCCGTGGAGGAGTTGATGGCATATGGTGCGGGTGTGGCGTCGACAGAGTCATCCACGCATTGTCTTAGAAACATGACTTTGATTCGTGTCAGTCACGCCGTGTTTTCCTTTTCTTGCTGGGAGTCTTGTGGGTGTGTTTGAGCCCTTTTAGGAGCCTGTGTAGAGAATGATCGCGGGAGAGCTGGCTGCCTTAATGAATGTATATATATATACACCCTGATAGAACGAATATACACTTCTTTACGACAATTTTCTACCGTATGAGTTTTGGGGAGGCCACGACTTTAGGGAGCCGACAGCGGCCGGATAACTTTTTATTTTTATTTTTACCATCGCACCCACCCCCTTTTGGTTCCCACCACGCGGCGGTGTCTTGTGGCTGCAGGACCCCAAAAGTCTGCCACGTCGCAAGTAATAAATAAATATATGTATCCTATCCGAATAGAGTGAGCGGGCCACGATTGTGGCTAACGGATGGTATGTATATATAAACATGCGTTTATTTGCCTCGTGTTGAACTTTGAGGATGTGGTGAACCCACTCTTATTCAGTTGATCCCTCACTTATTTCTATCTTGTTTGGTTTCTATTATTGAGAAACTCAGGAATCAGGAGCCACAGCAACAAAAGGAAAAACAAACATCTATTGCAACGCTTTACCAGCGAAAGGCAGGAACAACAGAAATCGAATTATTGGCTGCACCAACACAAGAAACATTCACAAGAGGAAAATAAATAATAATTGTGCACCCTGCAGAAATCCCCAACACACGATCCAGGCATGAAGGTTTGCCCTCCGCAAAACAAAAAAAACGCATGCAGACGTCTGCCAACATCCAAACAGAAAAACAAATAAATGGTTGCTTGCATTATTCCATTCCTTGCGCTTACTTTTGGGTGTGCGGCCGCTGCTGCTGCTGCGGTGCCCAGGCCTGCATGAAGTGGTGTGCGCTGAGTATGAACGAGGGCCAAAGGCAACTGAATTGTTTTTGTGATGAATATTGACTGCACTTCCCGTGGACCAACAATCCACGTGGTGTGCGGGGATCTCTTCATTTTAATTGTTACTTTGCTTTTGTGTTGCCGTGTGCGCTGCACCTCCTCTTGTGTGTTTGCGTACCCTCCGTGAGGGGTGCCGACACGACGGACCGCTCTCGCCGTATGTGCATGCGGTGGAGCCTTGTGTGCCGCTCCTGTTTGCTTCTCCCTCTTCCATCTGTGTGTTGGTGTTGCGGCAGGGCTGTGTGTGTGTGTGCCTGCTGCCGTGGGTTGGAGTGTGTGTCGTGCGTGGTGTGCGGCGTACGGTGCATGCCTGGCTGCTGCCCTCTCCTCATGTGGTGTGCCCTCTGTGTGTGTGTCTGCCGCACCTCTCGTCTCCCCTGTTGCTCTCCATGTCCCTCACTGTGCAGATCAGCTCCACACCACTGAACGACCACACTCACGATGACGACGTGCCGTCTGCTGTGCGCCCTGTTGGTGCTTGCCCTGTGCTGCTGCCCGTCCGTGTGCGCGGCAGGTGAAGAGGAAGAAAATAAAACCGAACAAAAAACCGTTCCAAAGGGTGTCGGGAAAGAGGGACCAGGTCAGGAAACGGATCCGCTTCTTACAACTCCTCAGCCACAGACAAGAGAGGAGGGGGATGAGAGTGAGGAACAGGAACCAAATACGCCGACTAATATGTCACAGGAAACGGCTACAATAACCGGAACGGCAGAGTCACAAAATACTTCCAATAATACACAGGATCAGGAACAAGAAGATGGGCAATCCACTAAGGAAGAGACTGAAAATACGAACACTAACACGTCAAATGAACAACACAAGGAATCAAATGCACCAACAACGACCACGACGACAACTACTACAACGACGACGACCACCACCACTGCGCCCGAGGCACCAACTACGACTACAGAGGCACCAACCACGACGACCACCCGCGCACCGTCACATCTTCGCGAAATCGACGGCAGCCTCAGCAGCTCTGCGTGGGTGTGTGCCCCGCTGGTTCTTGCCGTATCCGCGCTGGCGTACACCACTCTGGGCTGAAGAGGTGTATGCGGGCTGTGCTTGCCAGCACTCAGCCACGGGGATTTGTGTGCGTCCACTGTGGTCCGATGAAACTAAATAAGAGAAAATAATGATTGTGTTTTGCTTCACTTGCTTCCGCTGCCCTGCTGTGTGCTCCGTGTTGTGTCCCACATTCTTCACGTTGAACGCATCCTAGACACACTCGTATGCAAGGCACGCTCACAACTGTTTGCGTGGACGCATTTCTGTATGTGAGTTCATGGACACAGGATCCATTTGGTGCAGCTGTTTGTTTTTAATTTTTTTTACTTTATTGCTGTTTGTTTACTGTTTTTTGCTTTTAATTGTTTTTTTTTATGTTTTTCTTGTTGATCAATTATTGTGGGGCTGTGTGTATTGTTTTTTTTTCTTGCCCTTTCACTGATTTCAACTGCCTCCGGATATGTGCGCTGGGCTGCTTCCATTTGTCACTGTGTGGTGACTGTGTGTGGTTTTGTGACTTTTTT